GCCATCAAGACTTGGGTAAACTAAAGTCCATCGAGGAACAGTTACGAAGCTGGGAGAATCCACCAGCACCACCAATTCAGGTGCCCATAATTATCCTAGGTTGCCATAGAGACAGAGAAGCAGTAGCTCTGGCTTCTGGGTGGCCAGCAATAACACCCAGTGTTCCGGACCCTGATAAGCCTAATGTCTTATATGAGAAATTACAGAACATACTGTTTGGCCCCTAAGGAAAATCCAAATTGCTCGATCGGGTGCCACAGTTGCACAAAGGGGAATTCCACATGGGCTGTCCACAGATCAGCCCTTCCGCTGTGGTTTGCAGTGTCTGCCGGCCACAATCCTCGGAAGGTCACCCAATCCAGTTTGCATAGACTTTGCTAGCCCTAACTTGGGCTCCTCCTAAAATTCTAACCCACCAGGGCTTTATTCTGAAGTACCCTAATCATAAGGCCCCAAGTTGGAGGGGCCCAGAGGAGAACACAGCCCACAGACCCCTGTCCCCTTGACCTCATCCAACCACACTGGGTAGGTATGATGTTCATGAGATCTGTTATAGCAAAGGCACCAAGAAAACCTCTGCCCAACAAGCTGAAGATTATTCAAGGGAATACTAGAAATTTCAAGTTAGCAAAATGTTTTCCATACTCAATGTCCTGGATAAGAAGAAATGAAACTCCCATTATCATCAGTATTTTTTAAAAGTAAATAAAACTAAGGGCATCTAGGAGCCAAACCCCAAAAGGATTCAATATCAGGAAAGTTGTCTCCCTTTCCCCCAAGTGACCCTATTGCTCTGCTAAACCCAGCAAGTCAGGAATCCTTAACCTTCCCTTTGTGGCTCCAGTGCTAACCCACAGGGCTCCCAGCCTGGTCCCCACTCTTGGATCTGAACTGCAGAATTACAKCAAGATCCAGGGCAACTATAGCAAGATGGCTGCCATTTTTCTGAGCATGTGGATGGATTCCTTATAAGAGCTTGTGCACTGTAGATAGGACCCTTGAAAATCTATTTGGACACACACACACCAGCAACTCTCTTCTGCCCAATTCCTCTATAGCCAAAAATGGTGAAACCAACTAGTTGGAGCTTCCCAAAAAATTATTAGGATTTCCTGGGCTGACATGCCTTGGGACTCAGATTTTACCACCTCCCTCTCTCTAGCAACAAAGGATCTGAAAACAAAAAGGAAGAAAACACAGATCCCAGATGTCATGAATGTGATACCAGCCCCAGACTGCCAGCCTCTGGACTTCTTGCTGGGTAAGACAAAAAGTCAAATCCCTTTCTTTTTGAAGTAGGATTTTTCTTTCAATTCAGCCGAATACAGAAATTAGGGAATATTTTGGAGCAGGACAAAAAAATATATATATATATATATATATATATATATATATATATATATATATATATTCCCTCCCACAACTTTCCGATTTCCCAATGTGTCTCCATTGGAAAATTTATTTGTATTTAATTAATAGGCATTTCTTAGACACCTGCTAGCCATCTGGACTAGAGGGCGAATGAGACTCGGGCCACTTGCTGCCAAGGAGCTCACAGTCTCRTGAGGGGCACCTGGGTCCTCTCAAATTCACAGAACCAAATGACACCCAGCCTGACACTCCAGCCATCCAAAAGTGCCTACTCTCTCACCTCCTTTCTGAACGGGCTGTTCCCTCATATGAAAACACAAATTCAAATCTCCTACTATGAGYTTGTTGGCATTTATATTTGAGATGTGGCTATAAGTTTGGAACTTTTCCAGATGCATTCCAATGACTTTCCAGATGAACAGATGTCCTCACAGACTTGAGATCTAGGAGTTATCTATGTTGTTTTTGATGTTTTTTCAATGTTAAGCGCCCATGGTCTTGACTTTTCAGTGTTTATACGTATCCCTTGATATCAATACTGGAGCTTAGGTTTTAGGGAATCTAGTACCTTCGTTGGCAAAATAAGGACTTAACATCAAGGAACTCACCAATGGTATCTCTGTCCATTTAGATGATGAAATTTTGACAKGGGAAGAGCTAATTAGTTTAAATCAGTGTGGAAGGATCTAGTACCCAACACACACCTGGAGATAATTGGCTATGTCTTTTTCAAAACAAAGAATTCAGATCCCAACTTCAGCCCTATTTAATGGGGTTTGGATTAAAGAAAGATACAAATGGCTTTTACGCATCTCCTTTCTCCCTACCACACTTAGCACAAGTGTGTATATATTTACACATATATCTCAAATTGTAATAAGGAAATGTAAGAAGTGCTGTCTGTCTCCCTCAGTTGCTCTCCCCGTCCCTCTGAGTGTTTGTCTATGCCCAGACCAGCTTCTTTGGTGTCACACCCTCAGCCTTGGTCCAGGCTCACAGGGGGCGGGGACACTCTGCTATGCCAATCTCAAGTGTATTTGGTCCCTTCTGTGGGCCAGACTTGGTACATAAAAGTTAATAAAGTAATGTTCTGCTCAGAGAGCTCACAGCTGTTGGGGCAAGGTAGAGTGGTGCAGGATTATAGATTTCACAGAGAGGTAAGCACAAGGCACTGGGGGAAAAAAAAAGGTAGAAGGGGATCCATACTACCTGGGATCAGGGACTCCTGGCCTGGCTGGTCTGCGGTGCTGCATCTGTATCTAGAACATGCAGGTTAGAGAGCACGGTGCTCCTGCAGGCTAAAAGCAGACAAAGCCCAGAAAACCCAGGAGCCAAGAGGGAAAGAGAAAGGTGAAAGGCATGGAGAATCCCAGCCCTGGACCCTTCCTCTCTGCTCACTGGCAGCAGAACTAGTAGAAATCTGGAAGCAGCAGCAATTCTTGGGTTAACTCCATTCTAGTTTCTGGAAGATTCTTCCTTCTTTGGCAATGGTTGAGTTTCTGCACTGACACTCCTCAAAGGGTGGAGAAGAGAAGTCACAGTCCCTGATGCTGATCCACAAGTCACCCCAGCAGGTGAGCCCATGGGGTGGGGGCCTAGAGCCTCTCCTACTTCCCTCCTTCTCATTCCAGACTGACTGGACCCAGAGTGTCTCTCCTCCTTGCTTTGGCACAACCATCTTCTCCAAGGAGGAAGACGCAAAACGCAGCACCATCAAAGATGCCCAGCACTGAAGCAGRAAGGCGAGGAAATCCCAGAAACCTTGGGGATGCCCTCCACCTGGCCAACTTGTTCTTTAAGCACAAAGCCCCCTGTCAGGGAAGAGGACAGACACGGCTGTCCCCTTGGGGTAGATGGAAAACAGATAAAGGGAGGACAAGTGATTTGCCCTGAGAAAAATGACTTGACAAAGCCTGGACAGAGCCCAGGTCTCCTGGCCCCAGGCCAGTGCTCTTCCAAGTAACTGTGTAAACCGGGATGAGGGAAGCCCTGTGGAAGGGCCAGGTCTGGTCACTTCAAAGGAGCCCCCAAGACCTTCCAGATATGTTCGGAATTCTGATGTCACTGCCCTGATCCCTCTCAAATAAAGGTAGAACAACACTCCTCATCCTAACCCCAACTGGCTGCCCTGTTTCTCCCTGCCCTGTGCACACATGCACACGCGCACACACACACACACACACACACACACACACACACACACGCACGCACATCTATGACTGGACTACTGTGGCTTTTTTTGGGAAGGGGAAGAGAGATAGAGAAAAGTAGGGGAGGGGCCTTTCTGTCCAGCATTTCATGGAATTCTGAATCATTCTCCTTGTTATTTCTAGTTCTTCCCCTCCTCCACCTCCCAAACTCCAGGCTGCGGCATAGAAGCCTACAACCGAAAGAGACGCTGGCCAGACCCAGTGGCACACACCTGTAATCCCAGCAATCCTGGAGGCTGAGACATGAGGATAGTCCAGCCTGAACAACTTAGGAAGAATCTGTCTCAAAATTTAAAAAAAAAAATTAAAAGGGCTAGAGATAGAGTTCAGTGGCAAAGCACCCTTGGTTTCAATCCCCAGCACAACCAAAAATAGATAGATAGATAGATAGATAGATAGATAGATAGATAGATAGATAGATAGAAAAAATGCCATTTACATTTAAAAAAAAAAAACCTGCGGACTTCCTCATCCAGGTTTTCCTTCTTCACACTGGACACAGTATTAAGAAGGGTGCTTCCCTCACTCAGCACACAGGTGACACTGTGTTGGGTGACAGAACAGCTCTGAACCTTGGTTGATGGTTTCCTTTCTACCAAATGGAGATGCTAAGGGTCATGGTGAGAACCATCTGAATGGCACCTAACAAGCTTTGGGGGATGCAGACCACTGTTCCTAACATTCCCAAGAACTGAGAGAGCTGAGGGTGTGAAAACTTAGACCTGAGAATCTCAATGAAGCCAGGATCAGAGAAGAAGCTGGCGCTCACCCCGACCTTCCTGTCCTGTAGGATGCCAGCCTCGTCAAGAGGTTGTCCTTAAACGTGACATGAAAGAACTTGGAGGATATTTAAAGAAGGGAGGACATTTAGCTCACCACTCACTTTGACTTGGAAAAAAACTGAGTCCAGAGACCTCAGGTGACTTCCCAAATCAGCAAGGAAAAGTCTGCGTGTGCAACCTAGGTTGAGGGGGATCCAATAATTTCTCAATCCCAGTGTATTCTGGAATGGTCTATTTGTTCGCGTCACTCTGACCTAGGAACACGCGAATGGAACTCACAGCTGTGGGCCTCTGCACACAGAACAGCTGTTCTCCTCAGGAAGTTAACTTTTTTTTTTTTAATTGAGAAACTGAAAAAAAAAAGTATGTTAAAAAAGAGCCTCAAAGTTAATATTCAACCAGTCCTTTGCTTACGATGCAGAAATTAAAAATTTTAAACTCAACCAATACAGATTGGAGTCTAGGAAAGGGAGGGACTTGAATGAGAGAGAAAAAAAAAAACCCTTCAGGAAATTGACGGTGGCCTCACCAAGCTCATGATATAAAAGAGGGGACCCAGGAGGAGGTCTACACATCAGGGGCTTGCTCTTGCAAAACCAAACCACAGGCAGACTTGCAGAAGAAGCAGAGTTCCGCAATGCCCAACCCCGTGCTGCTATATTGCCTGGTCCTCCTGGCTGGGATGGGGACCAGCCGAGGAGAGAACGCCCAGTCTGAGGAAACCTGCACCCACTTTCCAGGTGGCCTGCCTCACATGCTTCGAGAACTCCGAGCTGCCTTTGGCAAGGTGAAGATTTTCTTTGTAAGTATTGCTGCTTTCTTTCCGGGACTGCCAGGAGAGGGTATTCCTTYTCCTCCTCCTCCCCCTCCCCTTCCATCCCCAACACTCATTCCCCTCAAACCTAATTTCTTAAGAAAATCCACAATGGAGCCATGCCCAGATGATGTAGGAAAGGTGCAGGGAAAGCTGCCTAAGGGGTTCATAAATGCATTCTCTCCTATGCTCAGAAACTTTCTATAAGATTCCATGGAGATTGATAGTTTATTGACTAGGAGAGATCAAGAAAGTTCTGATGGGAGGTAGAAATGTTCCACTTATTCTGGGGCAGAAAAAAAAAAAAAGCAGAAATTGCCTCTGCTTAGAGGGTCACCAAAACTTAAAGAATGAGATTTGGGACAGGACCACGAGTAGAGAAAACTTGCATTGGGAGAAGTTTCCCATTCCTAGAGAGTTCTCAGAACTGGAGCTGGATGTCCTCCAGGGACAGAAAGAAAGGCAAAGAGCAAGACATGAGAAGGGATTCAAGAATAAAAGGGTTGACAAAAGCTATGGCTCTACGGAAAGACCAGGACTGAGTCCAGCTTCTGCCTTCTCTTCAAAATCAGCCTGATTCTTAAAGCAACTTGATCTGGAGTGGGAGGACCTGATTTAACAAGGAGTTCTAGCACTCTCCTTTTTTAAGCGGGCAGGGACTCCATAGATCACAAATTGAAAACTCCATACATAAAAGGGCATGGGAAAGACATGCATCTCAGGTTTCCCCAAACCTCCAGTTCACTGCTTCTTCTGTTCTTACAGCAAACAAAGGATCAGCTGGATGACATGCTGTTAAGCGAGTCCCTGCTGGAGGACTTTAAGGTGAGAGCCAGGGCAAGGGAGCGTGCAATGTGATTAAGGGAAGGGAGGCGGGGTGACTGCAGACAGCTGGGTCGGCTTCCTTCACTTTGAAAAAGAGAAGTAGGAAGATCTTAACTCAGCACAAAGCCAGCAGCCAGGGGCTTAACAAAGGGCTCTATGCTGGGGGAGAGGTGGCTGGTTAAGGAAGGTCCCCAGGACCAGGGTGTCCTCTGCAGCTAGCTGCACCAGCTCTTCCTCCCAGTCACCCCCACTCTTTGGCACCTGCCCGCAGGGTTACCTGGGTTGCCAAGCCTTGTCAGAGATGATCCAGTTTTACCTAGTGGAGGTGATGCCCCAGGCAGAGAACCACAGCCCAGATGTCAAGGAGCACGTGAACTCCCTGGGGGAGAAGCTGAAGACCCTCAGACTGCGGCTCCGGCGCTGTGTGAGTAGCAGACCTGTGCATGCCATCTCCTAWGACCTAGCAGGGTTACATCCAGAGACACACCAAGACCTAGAGTGCCAGGGCTAGTTGTGAATTCAGAAAGGTGCGGGGAGTCAGATCTCTTGCTCATTTCTCTCTGGAGGTGGGGTGGGGGAGCGCTAGGCATTTACATGTGAAGATTTGCACATAGCTTTCCTGTTATTTGTGAGTCATTTGTGGGTTATTAACTACTCCCCTTTCTCTTTATGAAAGGGGCCCTGAGCTTCAGCCAAGGCTCCCTTGTCCCCTTGGACCTAAGCCTCAGCTCCCAAGGAGGGAGAAGTGTCACCCACCTCTTCTCAATCTTTGGAAAACAAGTCTCTTAGTGTGGCACAACTGGCTGACAGGATTTCTCCCAGTATTTCAGAAGGACCAGGGGACTACTGTCCCCAAGCAAGTGTCTGTGAATAAATCTCCCAGATGATTTATTTCTCTACCTGAAGTCCACCCTTGCCGCTGATGGTTTGTTTTGATCTCTCACTGAGATTGGAAAATTAGTCAGTGTCATCTTACTGGACAGGGCATAGCTGGAACAATGTCTCCACTTCTCAGACACTTGGAAATGGTCCTCGGTGTCTGAGATTAAAAGAGAGGAGACAAAGAGGCAGGAAAGGGACAGTAGACACTGGGGTTCTGGCAGAGGAAGCCCATCACCTGGATTCTCAAGCAAGCAAAAGACAAACATTTCATCTCCCTGGTTATTTCTTCTCTATCCCTTGGGTGGCAGGATTGTAAGACTGAGGTAGGCTCCATTCTCCCTGGGAGTAGGAGAAGTGGGCTTTCAGAATGAATCGGGCCCCCTCCTCATGCTACCAACTTGTCCCCCCAAGTGCCATGGACACAGGAACCGGGGCCATTAACATTTTCTCTTTCCTTCTGTAGCATCGTTTTCTTCCCTGTGAAAATAAGAGCAAGGCCGTACAGCAAGTGAAGGATGCGTTTAGCAAGGTGAGCCTGGGTGGGGGCAGAGAGGGTCTGCAGAACACAAACTCTGCCCACTCCTCAAGGGCAGAGGGTGGCAGGTGCTCCGCCAGCCTGTCCCACACTTGGAGGGGGTGTGGGAACTTCAGAAATGGTGTGAGCTCCTCAGCCAATGAGGAGCAGCTGCCTCGGTTCTATTTGTTTTCTGTGAAGTGTCTTGGGAGTTTCTAAATGACTGTCTTTGCAAGCTTTCAGCTTGGACGGGCCAGCAAGTTAGGTGCTGGGGAGAGTGATAAAGGAAACAGAAAGAAAGTAGCTCATCGGGAATCCAGGCTGAACCCACACGTGCAGGAAGCTGACACGTGCCTGTGCTCATGCAGACACCCTTGGGGGTTCAGGCTGGATTCCCCTAAACTTAGAATGAGCAGGAAGCAGAATTCTTACTTATCTAGAATTGATTCAAGTTCACTTTCCATCTGCCCTTCATACCTCCCCAGGTGCCTGAGAATATGAACTCCCAAACTAAATGAGGTTTCATACTTCCAACTGCCTAAGAGCCTCTTAAACCCTATTTCCCAGAAGCCATGTGGTCTGTGCCCTTTTCATGGGCTGGGAACATTCACTAGAAAGGGCTCCAGCATCAGGGGSCACAAGTCCCCTAACAGGTGAAAGCAGCCAGACAGAGGGCCTGCTTGATCTCTTAGTGGGAGAATACAAACATAAAAAATTTCCTTTTCCTCATCATCTAGCTTTCAAACTGCTTCCTCTGATATCTCTTCATTAAATTCTGCATAAGCACTGTGTGAACACCTGACCTTTAAAAATGTTGAAAAGACACCATTTGAAAACTTGCTTTGCAGAATAGATGCTGCTCTCACTGCCTGCTGGCCTGTGAGGGCTAAGGGTCAAGGCCCAGCCCTTTCCCAAGGCAGCTGGGCATATCTTTGATGGCCAGGGTCACTCTTCACCTCCCAACACAAGAGAGCAAGAATAGCCTCTACGTTTGACTCCTGTCTTGCCCTTCCAAGTGGAGGGGGCCCCRTCGTCTACCAGTAGGTTTTAACCAAGTGTTTCTTATCTCCCTGTACAGCTTCAAGAGAAAGGCATCTACAAAGCCATGAGTGAGTTTGACATCTTCATCAACTACATAGAAGCCTACATGACAGCGAAGATAAATAGCTAAAACATCCAGAAGGGCAACTCTACTGGACTCTAGGATATAAATTGGAAATCCCCAAAATCTGGCTCAGGGTTGTAAGCTAGCCAAGCCAGCTCCTTCGAAAACCCTGTTGCACCTCTCTCCTAGAATATTTATTAACCTCTGATACCTCAGTTCCCATTTCTATTTATTTACTGAGCTTCTCTGTGAACTACTTAGAAGCCCAATATTATAATTTTTTCAATATTTATTATTTTCACCTATGTTTAAGCTGTTTATATAGGGTGACCCCCTATGGTATTTGAGTGTTTTAAGATAAATTATAAGTTTTGTAAGGGGAAAAAGTGTAACTTGGGGAGCCAATGGAAGTTTCCATCCCAAGCATGACTACACTTCTGGCTGTTGAGCTGTTTTCCATGATCTCCCTCTGATTTCTCTCATCCCTGGATCTGGGCTCCTGGATTGCTGCAAAGACTCTTCCCCTCTTAGGAAGAGAAACCAGGCAGTTAACCAGGATTAACCTCCCCACATCTCCGAGGGAGTCCCCTGACCTCATTCTCCAACCATGTCATTCTCTAAAGCTGTGGCCAGCTTGTTATTTATAGCAACCTAAAGTTGGTTCTAATAGAACTCAGTTTTAACTACAAGTAATTCAGTTCCTTTGGGAATGTTATATTGTTTGTCTGTCTTCACAGCAGATTTTAATTTTGAATAAATAAATGGATCTTATTCAAATCATGGTGTCATTTGATTCCTGGGTGACAGAAATGGTTCTCTTAAGGCTTCCACAAGAAAGGGACAATGAATGAATTAACACCTTCCAGAGAAAGGAAGCCAGCAACTTCTCCAGGAAAGGAGGCTCCAAACTTGATCAGGAGAAAAGGCAATTCTCACTTTCAAAGCCCAACAGCAAGACCACCACGGTCTTCCCATAATGCAATCCTTTAAGAAGTACCCCTAACTCCTTAAGAATTATGCTGACTTTGAAGGTTAAGAAAGATTATTTTGTGGGGGTGGAGCTATAGCTCAGTGGTGAGAGCACTTGGGGGTTCGATCCTCAGCACCACCTTAAAAAAATAAATAAATAAAGGTATCGTGTTCATCTACAACTTTCATATATATATGATTATTTTGTATATACTGAGATCAGAAAGATAGACAGGCAAAAAAGTTGTTTTAGTCTTTTTTTTTTTTTTTTTTTTGGCTTCTTCAAGCTCCATAGGCCCAGAGGGTGAGAATAAATCCTGAGAATTAAAAGAAAGTGCTCACTTGGCTCCCGGCCCTTGGAGATGATTCCAGTACACAAAATTTGTTGTTATTGATAAGAACAATAAAAAAAAAAAAAAACTCCTACCAAAGGCTTTTTTGAGCTGAAATTAGGGGCACCAGGGCTGGAGCTAACAGAGTAGAATGTGGGCCCCCCTGGAKAGGATACCCCAGACTCCAGCAGCCACTTTTCCTGTCCCCTCCCTAGCCACCAGACAAATGTGAGCATGGCTTCTGACTGCGGTCTGCTGGCCGAGGGGGAAGGCACCGTGGCTGGGGAAGCCCTACTCAAGGCCCTGTGACTTGGAGCAGAGAGGGGAAGAAGAGGCTGAGTAAACACTGACTCCCTTCTGGCTCTGCCCAGGCCGCCCTGCTCCCCCTGCTCATGGAGGGTGGGAGCTGACTGGCTGTGGTCACTTTTTCAGTAAGACCTGACTCACTTCGGTTAAAGTAACCATAGGAAGGAAGTGGGAAGCATCAAAGCTGAAATTCTGAGATGAAAGGTTMGAGTTAAGAATGGAGGCTAGTAGAAGGTGACGGACGGGGGAGGGACAGACTCACGAGTGCTGTGGCCTGGACATTTTAGGCAGTTAGGGCTCGCTGCCAGGCTCTGCATGCCAACGTGAGGAGGAGCTGGCACCTCCTTCAAGGGAACAGGCATCTGGGGAAGCTACAGAACCAGTGTTCGCAGCTGCAATTCCTGGAGCACTTCTCTTGAGTGTGTCTGTGCTGGGTATATATTCATCAGAGACGCTAGGGCATCATTATTGCTATTTTCTGTAAGACGAAGTACTATTGCCATTTTTCAGAAAGCTCGGAAATACAAGATTTTTTTTTCCTGTGTTTTGTTCAGTTTTTTTTTTTTTTTTTTTTTGGTGGGGGGGTGGGGTTTAATGATCTAACAAGCTATAGAACATGTTTGAAGTTCAAGTTTTCTGAACTGCTTTATTAATACAGCCCTTTAAGCCATGAGTTGATCATAAACTAATCCCAAGGGATCCCTAGGCTCTAGACTTCCTGCTTCTAACCTGTTTGTGTATATTACTATGATACCTGGTATTTATGCTAATAATGTGAATATTAATTAAAGCTATTTGTCGGCTACTTGGCTAAGGACTTGGTATCACTCTTTATTGTCAAGTAAAACTATGAGGGATTAATTATTAACATCTCCATTTTTCATATAATGAAAACGAGACCCAGAAAAGTTATATAACTTACCTTTGGTCATCCAGCTATTAAATGGTAGATCATGATCTCAATGACTATATTAAACTCCTAGATAGGATTTTCATATATAAATTACAACATTCTTCTTTTCTAATATAATTCTGCTGTGTCTCATTGAAAATTGAGATACATATTCRGGTTCATTGGCATGCATCTATCTATTTTCATAGCTGCTGGGGAGGCTGAAGCAGAAGGATCATTGGAGTCCCAGGGTTGGAGGCCAGATTATGTCTTTTATAGACCTTAATATGTTGTATGCCTTTTTTTCTCTGTCTCAAGATATTTTAATATTTTCTTCTGTGACMTATTGGTTGTTCTGGAGCATGAAAAATACTGACATGACTGTATTAGACAACATGAAGAATGAAGAACTAAGTGTAGCATAACACACCATTTCTTTTGTGTTAATTATCTGTTGCAACACAAAAAAGTTGGCCAGTTGAAATCATAAGCATTTATTAACTCGGTTTCTATAGGTCAGGAATCTGAGAGTGACAACTAGTAGCTCCATCTCAGGATCTTTAATRACATTGCATTGAAAATGACAAGCCAGAGCTACAATCACTTGAAGACTTGACTGGGGCTGGAGGAATCATATTTAGGATGGCTCCTCACATGGCTATTCCAGGCTACTCCTTCCAGGTCTTTGCTCTGTCYGGCTGGAGTCATATCTACTTTGTCCCATGTCTCATGCTGATCAAAGCTCTATTTAGTAGCCATCTATTGTATCTCTAATTAACAAAAATCAGAAAGTGAAATTATTTCTTTAAAACTTTAATAGAGGGCTGGGAATGTGGCTCAAGCGATAGTGCGCTCGCCTGGCATGCGTGTGGCCCGCTTTCGATCCTCAGCACCACGTACAAACAAAGATGTTGTCTGCCAAAAACTAAAAAAAAATAAATAAATATTAAAATTCTCTCTCTCTCCCTCTCTCACTCTCTCTTTAAAAAAAAAAAAAAAAACTTTAATAGAGTGTCCCTGGGCAAAATTAATGGCAGCAGTTATTTGTGGTAAAAAGCCTCAAAACCACTGAATTAGATGACCTTCAAATTCTGCTCAAGCCTACAGACCCTCATCCCAGCCTGCGAGCTCTTCAGTCAGCCAGGCCCATTCCCACTCGACCCTCCTCCAGGACACATCCTGTGTCTGCAGAGTCTGTACCAATGATCTTCTAGAGAGTTCCCCAGTCAACTGTGTAGGATCAACAGCTCCCCTCTCCCACCTGAGTTGAACAGCCATACAACCCTGAGCTTCCAGAAGCCTCTTGGGCACGCTGGCTAGTCAAGACATGAAGGAAATAAAAGATCTGAAGAAAATTAACACAGCTTCCCTCTTATCCCATAAGGATGTTATATGCAGCCTCTCCAGGCAGGTGGATCTTGGTTCTAAGCCCACGGCTGCCATTTGCCTATTAGCTGCATGACTTTGAGATGACACCTACCACAGTATTCTCCTCTGTAACATGGAGAAATGATCATTCCTTCAAGGTGATGGTGGTGTAAGAAATAAAAGCAAGAGTACATATAAAGCTCCTGGCACAGAGTAAACATTCAAAAAAGGTAGGTCCGTCCCTTAGGCATTTGTGAAAGTGCTAACATGAAACAAAATGGAAAGACAGATGCTCTAACACCATGAAAATAGTGGGCACAACTTGCACTTGTGCCAATCACTATACCTAGACCTTTCCTTATAATGCCTTCTGCCTTCTCACCCACCATTTCTGCATAGAAAGATAAAATGGTTCATCCTTGAACTTGGGAGAGAAAGAAAGGAAATAATATTTTTTGAGTGGCTACTTTCAATATCCTGAAGTTGGTCTCCAAAATGCTTTGGCTTGGTGAAGTAAAACAATATGTATAAATTACAGTCACTGGAGTTGCATAAATCCATTGAATCCAATGAACTGCTTAACATAGACGCCTGATTTCAATAGTTACACATAGCATTGAATATAAATTAGTTTAAGCTTTATTCAATTATAACACTCGGCTTTGTTCATATGTTCATTCTCCATCATTGTTTGCTTATCTGAACAAGAATTCAGCCTACTATAACGCTTTTCCACTTACCATTATTTGAAAGGGAAAGGGGATGTTTTGCAAACTTATGAAGCCATTGCATAACTGAGCCCACAATTGTCAAATATACAACTTAGAATCTCATGTATGTTTCAAGAAATCTTCCTGGATTACTTAGAGGATGGGTATGTAGGTAGCTTTGCATTGCTGTGACCAAAATAACCTAACAAGAACTACTTAGAGGAGGGAAARTTTATTTTGGCTTACAATTCCAGAGGTTTAGTTCATGGTGGGCTGACTCCACTACTCTGGGCCCAAGGTGAGGCAGCACATCATGGTGGAAGGGCATGGCAGATGGAAGCTTTTCAGGAAAGGGCAGCCAGGAAGCAGAGAGAGAGGGGGGAAGGGGTCACAGAGCAAATGAACATTTGCAGGGCATATCCCCAGTGACTCAACTCCTCTAGCCATACCCCATCTTCCCACAGTTTCCATCCAGTCATTATATTCAAGCTATAATAGACTGATTATGTTATAGCTCTAATAAT